CCCCTTTCTCCATTAATGCAAATTATTTACGTTTAACAAACACGTTTTTGGTGGATCAACACCTCTTTTGAATGATGCAATTGACGAAAATAAAATGAAAGAGAACAAAAATGAAAAGAGTTATTGAGGTAAGGATAATAATCAAAACAATAATGAAAAAGTCCTACCCCACATGCTTAGTATTCCTACCCGGACATGATCTCTATCCCGCAAGTTGATTTTGAACAAGTCCTAACCGTATAAATTTATAGTTCACATGCTTTGAACATAAAATAAGGCAGGAAATGAACTCAAAATAGCCTAGGGTTTAAAATAAGGTTTTGGGGTGGGCTCTAATTCCCTGTAATCTCCCAGTTTGAGTTCTATAGAAGGTATTCGAGTTCTCCTTGCTGGTGCCCCCTTGGGCTTGCCAGACCCTTAGTCCTAAGCCCATTACAAGCTCATGTGGACTAAGTTAAACTCGAGGGGATACATTACCTTATGCCCGCGCGGTGAATAAATTCACACGAAGACATAAGGTATATGAATCCCGAAGGTTACTTGTTAGGCCCACACGGAGAATAAATTCTCACGAAGGTGTCGCTTTCACCTCCACTTAAAAAGGGTTTGGAGCTCGGGTATGGAGACTGAGATGAAAATTTTGAGAATCTGAAATCATTAAAAAAAACGTCAATACAACTATTTATTTGAAAAATAATCAAAGATAAATAATTAGAATCGAATAAATAAATTAAATTTTAAACTTGTAATTTTCGCTAAAAAAATAACCGGAAATTAATTTCGGCCTGACTCGCTTACCTTTCCCCAGTGGAGTTGCCAAGCTGTCGCGGTCATCTTTCGATTGAGGCCCGAAATTGGGCTTTGACTTGAAAAATGAGTGTTAGAGTCGCTACCGACCACTTTAAAAACATTTAGGTGGATCTGATATCATCTTACTTGATCTGTGTTTTACCATAAATGAATCGGGTTTGGGAGTCGGTTACAGTCAATGAAGGATTAACACCCTTGAATCGCCCTTTCGGTACCAATTAATTTGTCGGTTGTCTTTATTTACGAAAATTAAAATTGAAATTTAAAACGTTCGATTCGAATTACTTACATTTGATCGATCGAAAATATTACTGAAAAAAGTCAAAAATATGTTATATGGTAAAATAAAAGAAATATCGAATAAAAATTAATTAAATAAAAAGAAAAATAAATCAATCAATCAATCAATCAATCAAAGGAAAAAATAAAAAATTGTTAAAAGAAGAAAACAAAACAAAACAAAAGAAGAAAATATAAAATTTTAGGGAAAATATAAAAATGTTAAAAGAGAAAAAAAAGGTGGGAAAATAAAAATAAAAAGGTTAAATTATAAAGAAAATATAAATAAGGAAAAATATCAAATTAAAATGAATTAACTTTTTGATTTCAAAACATAACTAAATTGCATTAATCGAAAATTCAAGGAAACATTTAATGTACATGCAGTGACTAAATTGAAATAAATAAAAATTAAGTTCATATATGAAAATACAAAACTTTCTAACGACCCATTACCTAGTTATACCAAAATTTCCCTAAAGGCAATAAAAAAACCCCATTTATACGTGGTCATCTTCCTCATTTATGTTTCTTCTTCAGTCGTGCTCTCCCCCTCATATGCTCTCTTTCTTTTAACACAAACTCAAAACTAAAATCTTCTTGGCCATTTCAGAGTAAAAAATAATTAAAAAAACAACAAATTCATCATTCATTCATGTAACACCCCAACTCGTACCCGACCCGGATACGAGTCTGAGATGTCACATTGACTTTTTAAAACAATATTCTTACAAAATATCAAAACATTTGAACTCATATTAAGGAAATACAATAATATACCATTAAATTATGCTTCATTATAAAAAAAATTAAGTCAAAAACTTATTTATGAACAGTACTATACGGTATGAACAGTACCGTGAACAGTAACAATATTCTTGTTCGATAGAGTTTTGCAAACATGTGTGTGGACCATTGTACCTTGTGATAACCCAAGCATCTTGCATCTGCATTTTGGACACTTTAATCAGCCACTTACACTCGAGCCCATATTTAACACAGTTCACGTATAGAGTTTTCTGGTTGGACTCTACAATCTTGCAATCTACATGGCCTTTTATGCAATACTCTTTAATGGCCAATGCAACTTCTTTTTCCCCCTAAATTGTTTCCCAAATGATAATTCACCAGAGTTTTCGGATGATTCAGTCATGTGACCTGAAGTTAAATGTGGTATCTCTGGGTATTCAGGTGCCCTTATCGCATCACAATATATCTCGTACATGTGAATGGTAGGTTGATATGGTGTCAGATATTCAGTAATGGTCATATCAGGTTCATCACCATCAAAAATATCGTCATCCTCAGCCAAAATTGGTTCCTCAGTTTCTTCATCTTCACTGGAATCATCATGTATTTCTCCCCAGCAGTTTTTAGCGTCAGCATCAATAGTTGAATGTGGATGATGTATGTTTCTTGCCCCATACTCAGCGACTGCAGATATTCTACCGGCTTCATTTGCACTTTCCAACACCACCACGAAACTGTTTATCGACCTATATGGCGGGTTTCTCAATCCGACTTTCGAAAGCTATTTGAGATGAAATTCCAACCATATTTCTTGATGACCCACGAACATCATACCTATTACACACCTCAACAAATAACTCAATATTGGAATATTTGTTGAGTCATGTAATTCAATCATAGTTGTAATGCCATCATCTTCTTCAAGTGGTATTGCAACATACCTTACTGGATTGGAACATACTATAAACTTGTACCTCAAACCATCAATTGTAGCTAAGATTTTCCTTTCTATCATCTCTTTCATTTCTACAAATGTGATGTCCCTTTTAAACATCATATTTATAGGTCCTTCAGACTGAAAAATAACTTCAACCTCATTTTCCATAATATGTCCATTGTAATGGACAATCATGAAAATTTTGTTGCTCATTTTATCTACATATAAAAATATAGATATTTAGAATAAATAAAAAATAAAATACATAAATAAAACAATTTGTGACATATTATATATATTATATTAAAGTTATTATTAAAATAAAAAATAAAAATAATTATTTTTAACATTTTTACTACAAATACTAAATCAATATTATTAAAATTATACTAATGATCCCTAAAGTAAAAAAGTAAAATTATACTAATGAAGAAAAATTAAATTCATTGATCATATTTACAATAAAAACAATAAATAAAACAATAAAATTTTGACTAAACTTACCAAACCACTCAAATACGATTTAATATGTAAAATTAAAAATAAATATTCTAATAATTTATATTACTCAATAAAAAATAAAAAAATATAATTTAAACTAAACTTACCAAACTACTCAAATACAACTTAATATGTAAAATCAATATAAATAGTCTAATAATTATAATTTAAATTAAAAAATTACACTAAAAATTACAAGAAAATTTAAATTAAACTTACCAAACCACACGAATACAGTTTAATCTGTAAAATCAAAATAAATAATCTAATTAATTTATATTTAAAATAAGAATTAAAAATGAAACAATAAAATTTACACTAAATTTATCAAATCGCTTACTATACCACTTAAATATTAATTCTTTCTTTCTTCGTTCAAAGTTTTTTCTCCCCTTTTTTATTTTTTTATTCTCTTGCAAATGTGCTCTTTCTCTCAGCCCCACTCTCATCCCCTCTTCTTGCATCCCAAAATCCAACTTCCCCTATTTTATAACACAAACTGGTGTTGCATTATTGGTCTAATAATGACATTATTATTACTAACGTTCCCCACTTCCCCACGCCATGCAACTTTGCTTTAGAGTTAGTGCTGCAGTCGACGCGTGGATGAAGACGTCGCGTATTCTCGAAGGCTTCTTCGAGGACTAAAGAGTCGTCTCTCCCCCGCCTGAAGACGCCATGCACACATGGAGTCTTCATGTTTGGGTTGAAGACGTCAGGTTCTCCACGCTTCTTTGGGTCGGTACTGTAGATTTCACCCTAGATGGGAAAATAATCCCTGGGGTTGATTATATTGGGAATTAAAAATTTCCAGTACAATATCTCAGTCATTTTGTCGTATCTTAAATGATTATAATTTTTTTAAAAAAAATTAAAAGATAAAATTGGCTTTTATTATATGATTACGTATTTCAATATGATAGCGTAAGTAAGAATCAAATGATTTCAGTAGCTGAGGGATTTGTTGTTATTTTTTGAGATCATGTATTTAAGTATTACGTTTATATAAATATAATCATTCATTGCCAAATGATTAAGAGTTTTTGAACATATAATATTTTATATTTCTCCCAAATTTATCAAAAAAATGAAAGCTTAATTTAATAACTCGAGAGTTAAATGAAATATTAAACATTTTTCATATATTAATATTTGTATGATATTAATATTTGTATGATAAAGTATACAAATGGTCTCTTAATTATAGGATATTGTTTTATTAAGTTCATTGACTATTAAAAGTTATAAAATGGTCTTCTGACTATAGAGTGTTGCTTTGTTGAGTCCCTTAATTATTAAAAGTTACAAAATGGTCACTGACTATTCATTATGTTTTAAAATCATCATTTTTCGTTAAAAACTGGCGTATAAAATATGATCCCCAGAATCTCAAACAAATTTCATGTTATTGTCCAACTTAGACAATCGTCAATATTTTCACGAAAAATGGTGAATATGGAACAAAACGAATAGTTAAGTTACCATTTTATAATTTCTAATAGTCAAATGACTTAACAAAACATCATTCTATAGTTAAAGAATCATTTTATAACTTTTTATAGTTAATGGATTTAATAAAGTATTACCCTATAGTTGGGTATTTACGCCAATGTTTTTTATTTGTAATATATTTGTGTATGATGGTAATGATGATTTCTATCATGTATCACATACATACATACCTACCTGCCTTGTAAGGCATCCAAAGCACAAATCCAAAAGCAAAAAGCCACTCTTCCTCTTTCCTCTAAAAAAAAAACAAGACAATTCTTTTCTTTAGCACAGAGAAAAAATATCAGTGAATTAAAAAGGAAACCTTTCCTTTCTTTTGCCATTTCCATCACAGAGAAAAAGAAAAATGAATGGCCATGAAGCTCAAACAACACCTATTAATCCCCCACAAATCTCCCAAATGTTCCAAAAATTCGCCTTGGCTTTCAAGACCAAGACCTTCGAATTCTTCGCCGACGAAGAAAACGACGATCGTCACAGCATCAACGCCGCCGCCGATGGATTCTCCCTCCTCGACTCCGCCGAAGACTTCATCACCAACCAGAAAGTCGTCGTCATCAAGCCCGACCCACCGCCCAATGCATTGATTTCTTCACTTAACAGAGTTTCGCAGGCTCGGACCGTCGATACCCAGATCGCCGATTCATTGATTTCTTCCGTTTTCGCCACCGTTTCTTCGTTCGAAGCTTCGTATCTCCAGCTACAAACTTCGCACGTGCCCTTCGTGGAGGAAAACGTGAAGGCGGCCGATAGAGCTTTGGTTTCTCATCTCCAAAGATTGTCTGATTTGAAGCGTTTCTACAAGGAGATTTCGAAGAATCCCGATTCCGAAATTGGGTCGGGTCTCGGGTCTTGCTCGGAATCTCAAGTGCAGGAGAATCAAAGCAAGTTGAGGACGTTGGAGATTGTTTCGAACCGTTTGCAGGAAGAGATTGATGAAAAGGACAATCAAGTCTCGAGTTTGAGGAAGAAATTAGCTGAAATTCGATGGGCTAACACCAAATTATCCAAGAAATTATCCGGTAATCTGAATTCAGCTTGTGATGTTCTTTTGACGGTTAAAGTATTTCATTCTGTTTTGCATGATGCTTGTAGAGCAACTCATAAGTTCAGTAAGATTTTGATTGGTTTGATGAGAAAAGCTGGCTGGGATCTTGGATTGGTTGCCAATTCAATTTATCCCGATATCGATTATGCTAAGGAAGGACACACTAGATTTGCTTTTCTATCATATGTTTGTTTGGGGATGTTTCGAGGTTTCGATTTAGAAGGTTTATGTTTGCACGATAACGAAGGGAATAAGGGTACTTGTTCATTGAAGCAATTGCTCGAACACGTATCGAGCAACCCCGTGGAGTTACTTAGGGACCAAGACTCTGACTTTTCGAGATTTTGTGAGAAGAAGTATCAAGAGCTTATTCATCCCACTATGGAGTCGTCGATTTTTAGCAATTTGGATCGAAATGAGGTCATGCTGAATTCGTGGCGATCGTTGAACATATTCTATGAGTCGTTTGTTGGCATGGCTAGCTCCGTATGGACACTTCACAAGCTGGCCTTGTCATTTGATCCTATGGTTGAGATATTTCAAGTCGAAAGAGGAGTCGATTTCTCGATCGTATTTATGGAAGATGTCACCAAGAGATGTAACTTGCCCGGACAAACTAAGGTGAAAGTAGGGTTCACGGTGGTTCCGGGCTTCAAAATCAGAAGTACCATGATTCAGTGTCAGGTTTATTTAGGTGGGTCACAATGTAAAGGGTAGTTGCTCAAATATCGCACCATGAGAGAACCAAGTTATACTGAATCTTCTCTTTTATAGAAAGGGTTTCGGAGAAAGGTTATTTTGGTTTGAATCTTCGGGTGCAAACCTTGAAGGTCCTCCAGGATTGTAGATAAACTGTATTGACATTATGACCCCAGTACCTAAAGACTGAGTAAACACTTATACTAACCCTGCTGCTGAAGTTTACACCGAGCTCGAGGGAGTGACTGCGGTAAGGCTGCTTCTTGACTATTTTCTTATACTAAACAAAATTTTAAGGTTGTGAATTTCTCTTCTTACGATTTGCATTTGAGTCCATGTAGAAATGACTTGATTTTGATATGAGATAAATACTACACCAAATGTGTATCTGCATAATTGTTTCTTATACAACTGGACTTTGTATTTTTTTCCTTTACAAGTCGCGTCTTTGATTAGACTATAGCAAACATATTAAAGCATACTTGCATTGCTATTTTAATGCGGTCGAGTTCTGTGATTTTGTTGAATCAATTCGAATCTGGAGTGTATTGATCCATGCAATTGTGTCATACCTTTCTTGGATGTGAACAATGCAATCCATCTTTTTTGTACTCGAATCGCGAATCATGTGAAATAAATGTGCTTGAACTTCAATTCCATGATAATTGTTGTTTTTGTATCTCAACTCTATCTGTGTTGCTGAGATTTTTCGATTTGCAGTAGTAAAAATACAAGCATGGTATTCTTCTACTTTTCCCCAATAGGTACATCTGACTCTACATTTTCCGATCTCCCGTCGACTTTGTGCTCGTAAGTTTGTGTTCTTGATTTAGCAGGATTTTGCTATTATACGAGTGAGTTCTTCATTCTCACCCGCGTTTCGATTCGAATTTAGGGTCGTTTTATGCAACATCTAGGACCATTTATCTAAAGCAATGAACTATGTACAAGTGTTGAAAAACAATCCTGTTTTTTTAGATTACTTGGGCCTCCAGATCCATGATCCATGGTGCTCTGACTTTTCTGTTTGAAGTATCAATTTTCGACATGTATTAAATATATTCGAACACGAATGTATGTGTATATATATATATATATAATTATGGCAAAAGGGTACACGAAAACAAATTAATGTGATTCTCCTATTATTTTTTCTTTCAATGTGTTCTAACTAAAACAAAAAAAAAGAACTCAATGTGATTTTTTGACTAACGTTTTTTGTCATTGACCAACAATGTCCTATGTTAATTCTTGCTAAAGTGGCACGTCAACCAGGCTAGATTATTTCGTTTAATCGTTGTATAAACCTAAAAGGTGTCCAATCATCATTAAACATAGGGTTGTATCAATATTAAACAAAAGGTACTGGTTCGTTTGATGTGTCACGTCAACATGAATTATTGATCAATGATGAAAGACTTTGGTAAAAAGAGGCTATATTAAACTAATGATGGAAGACTTTGGTAAAAAGAGGCTATATTAAACTCTTTTTGATGAATTGAAGAGTCACAGAGAAAATAATACGGGATATATTGATTTTTTTTAAAGTACAAAGATTTTTCATACCTGCTATGAATTATTAAATGTTATTTATTAATAAAAATAAGTCGGTTGTAACTTTTTTACCGTAAATGAGGTGTTTAGATAAAAAATAAAAATAGAAAAATAATAAGGTTTCGAGTTTAAGTACAGTAGCATGTTTGGAGTGTCTAAGAGTTTATTAACAAATGAATCGAAAGTTTTTAAATAGATATTATTTTACCCTTAATTAATAATTTCATTTACTAATATAATCATATAAATACAAATGATTTATCTATATTTTAAATTGCCATTTACATTCTTAATTGAGTTGATATCTTTGAATCAAGCATCATCAAATTCGATTAGAAGATTAATTATTTTAACCATTTAGTTTTTAATAATTATTAAATTATTATAAAATATCATCGTAACAATCATAATAATTATACAAATTTTATGATTCTAATGATTATTTTATAATAATTCGATCATTTTTAATGATATTCTATAATAATTTGATGAATTATTATAGGGGATTCTAATCTAATAATCGACATTTTAATTTTGTTAATCATATCACTTAACCATATTTATATGATATCAATCAAGTCACTTACCTTTTAATGATATTCTATAGTTGACAATGTTAATATAATTAATACAATTATACATTTAGTTCTAATTACTTATGTATTATATCAGTTTGATTTTAATTTTAATTTAATTCAATAAATATAATTCTCTAATCAAAATTGATATTATTGCTAGAATTTATTAAATTAAATAGATTAAATTAAGAAAAATGATAAAATTTGATATTATTGCTACAATTATACCGATTTTATTATCTATCACGTCAGTTCTTCTATCAAATATTAAATATATATAATTTAATTAATTTTAATTAAAAAATTAAAAGATGATTAAGATTAAAATTTCCTCGTAAATAAGTGATAAATGGGTGAGTTTTACCCAAAACTAATATAAAGTTGTTTTTATACAACTGTATCATAGAGCATCGGCAACAAATCCAAAACCAAATAACAGCCCAAATTTAAGGGTTTACCATTCAAAATTAATTATCTATAAATAAAACACTATAATATGAATTTTGTAAAAATGCCTAATTAAACATTGGCCCAAAATTTAAATAACAAAACAATCGATCAAATTATAGAAAAAAAAAAGCTCATTGATTTTCACTATTTCTCTCGGTTTCTTTGTTTCTTTCGTTCGTTTTCTCGCTGCGAGAAAACGAAGAACAAAAAATTTTTTAAAAAAAGGGAAAAAAACTGTAAATTCCTAGGTTTTTACCAAATCAAAGTACCCAGCTTATTTAAATTCCAGTTGCTTGATTCTTGATTGAAACCCATGAATCAATTCTAGCAGCAATATCGAACCCTTTTCATCTATTGGAAAAACCAAGACTTTTCCCCATTTTTTTCATCAGAATATGGAGAAGAAGTAGTAGCATTTAAAGAACTTGCTTTTCCCTTTCTTCCACCGTGTCAACCACCGTCAGCGCCGCCGTTTAAAGCGGAGTATTCCCCAAATCTTGAACACCCATTTCTTCAATACCCCAAAATTTTAATACCCATTTCTTGAAAGCTTTGTACAATGTCTCATCTTGATGATATTCCGTCAACGCCGGGGAAATTCAAGATGGAGAAATCGCCGTTCATCCACGGTCGAATGAGGTGGCATTGGCAATCTTCACTAGCGAAGCTCAGTTTCTGGTCATTAATCTTCACCGGCGTGATTTTCATATTCTTCTTCCGATCTCCGTCGTCGAATTCGATCGCTCAAGACCCTTCTCGCCGCTCTCTCCGTACTTACAATTGGGGAGGACCCGTTTGGGAAAAACGGGTCCGTTCTTCCGCCCGAGTCCGTTCTCATAACGGGTTCTCCGTTTTGGTCACCGGAGCCGCCGGTTTCGTCGGTACCCACGTCTCAGCCGCCTTGAAAAAGCGCGGCGACGGCGTCCTGGGACTCGATAATTTCAACGACTATTACGATCCTTCGTTGAAACGAGCTCGGCAAGCGCTTTTGGAGCGCAGTGGGGTTTTCATCGTTGAAGGAGATATCAATGATTCCGCTCTTTTAAGGAAACTTTTCGAGGTCGTCGCCTTCACCCACGTTATGCATTTGGCTGCTCAAGCCGGCGTCAGGTACGCCATGGAAAACCCTGGCTCTTATGTGCATAGCAATATTGCTGGTTTCGTTAATTTGCTCGAAGTTTGCAAGTCGGCAAATCCGCAGCCAGCGATCGTGTGGGCGTCTTCGAGTTCGGTTTACGGGCTTAATAGCAAAGTTCCATTCTCAGAACGAGATCAGACTGATCACCCTGCTAGTTTGTATGCTGCTACTAAGAAAGCCGGTGAAGAGATTGCTCACACATATAATCATATATATGGACTCTCTTTAACTGGTTTGAGGTTCTTCACTGTTTATGGTCCTTGGGGAAGGCCGGATATGGCGTATTTCTTCTTCACTAGGGACATTTTTAAAGGGAAGTCGATACCGATATTCGAGGCGGCTAATCACGGCACGGTGGCTCGGGATTTCACCTACATTGATGACATCGTAAAAGGGTGTCTAGCTGCATTGGATACTGCCAAGAAGTGTACCGGTAGCGGAGGGAAGAAGAAGGGTCCGGCTCAATTCAGAATATACAATTTGGGGAATACTTCGCCGGTGCCTGTTTCGGAGCTCGTGAGTATTCTCGAGAGGCTTTTGAAGGTTGAGGTAAAGAGGAACTTCATGAAGTTGCCACGGAACGGGGATGTTCAGTTTACGCACGCCAATATTAGCTTGGCTCAAAGGGAGCTTGGATATAAGCCCACGACCGATTTGCATGCCGGGTTGAAGAAGTTTGTGAGGTGGTATCTCGGTTTCTATTCCAACGGGAAGAAAGCTGCCGAATAACTATCGTTCTCTGTATCGCGGTAGGATCGAATCCTCTGAATTATTGTTCATTATTATTCGTATTAACTTGCTTAAGTATCGATATTCGACATTATCTATAATGATTGTTGTATAAGGAGGTACATTATTGTCCTGCTTTGAAGAAGTTTTTTAATCAGTGGGCAAACACTGTATCAAAAGAATAATTGAACAATCTTTTGCCTTTCCCCTTGGAATGTAATTTTTGCAGTTTTTGGCCTTGGACAAGACCATATGCTGATTGATGGACCTGTATCATTGTTATGCAATTTCAATAAAAATAGCACATAAACTTTATCTTCTTTCTTTTGCTAGTAGATTAGTAACTTTCACTTTGTTGAACCTGATATGAAATATGTTGAGCTCTCTTAAGCATTCAGTTCGATTGTTTGTGTGTTACGCTTGTTCGCAAGTTCAAATTCAAGCTTTAACTTTTTTAAGCATTCGGTAGAGACGGTTTGTGTGTTATGTTTGTTCAAGGCAAGTTCAAGCTCGAGCTTTCTTAAGCATTCAGTTCAACGGTTCATATATTATGTTTGTTCAAGTCAAGTTCAAGCTCAAGCTCTAGCTTTCTTAAGCATTCACTTCGACTGTTTGTGTTTTACTATAGTTCGAGGCATGTTCAAATTTAAGCTCGAACTTTTTTAAGCATTCAATTCGATGCTCTACAACCTTAGTTCCAAGAAGAGCCAATTCAATGTAAGATGGAAAACACCAAAAGCATTTCAAATTGAACCAAAAATGTAAAGATAGATAATTCTGACACACTAAACATAATATTTTCCCTCCCAAGTATCTCAATTTCAGACATAAATGAACAAGTTCTTTTAACACATTGATACCAAAAGTTTAGCCCTGCATATCCAAAGCACCTGGAAGACGGTTCAAACTCTGAGCTCTAGGCCACAAGAGTGCTGGCGGTGGTCGATTCACTGCGCGAAGAAAAATATGTCAAGATTGCAAGTAAAAAACCCAAATCTTCAGACTGGAGAATGCTAGAATAACAACTGTTGGGGCCACAACATTCTCCGAAAGAGCATTACTCCTAACCATTACTTAAACACCAAGTTTCAATGACAGACACTTCAGTCCGGCACATAACCGGATATGGGTATAAAATAAAGATTTGTCAATGATACATGCATCGAACACTTGCTCGGGGTCCAACTAACTAAACTATAAGTTAAACATGTTAAGAACATCAACGGGAAGCAGTATACAAAAATTTACTATTTCCACACTGGTGGAAGCTTCTTTGTCTTCTTGTAATAGCGGGCGAGACGGTGAATTCTGCTCTCGACCAAGATTAACCTAAACTTGGAATCCTTGTCCTTCCTGTTCCGCTCGAAATCTCGGAGTATGACACCAATTTGAGATGGGGTCAAACCCTTCTTTGCAAACTTGCAAATGTTCTCCTCAACCTGTTACTCAAAATTCGGGTGAGTATTTTTGTGGGGTATGTTGCATGCATCATTTGTTCTAGATTTTTCAATGTATCTTAAGTATACCATACCCTCGCACACACAGCCAAATATGTGTCGAACATATGAATATTTCAAGGAAAATGAAGGTTCAGATGAATATAATGTAAATGCAAAAAATAAATCCATTAGAGTATCCACAAATGGCAAATTATATGAAATAGTCCAAGCCTTTGAGGAAGATTAATGAACTACAACAACAATCTCACAACACATCATTAGTAAAAGTAAGGTTAAATCTGCTAGTAAATAACCCGAAGATCAAAACGACTTGATGCTTACTCAAAATGAAATAGTTTTAATGAGCAAAACGTACAACAAACAAGAACCAGAGAATATTTTGATACACATTTGAAAATGCAAAAAAAAAACATCAAAACATAATCAAACCATATAACCATGTTAAACACACTCGGAAAAAAAAATTCACTCGAAAAAATTTTCAAATAAATTTTGAGTTATAAAATAAGACTCAAATGAATCAATTTTTTAGTAATTGATAGATTAATTTTCAAATTCGAGTTACTCAACTTTTATATTCCATATGAATAAACATGAATATGTATATATATGAATATATATATATATATATATAATTGTTTAAATTAAAATCAATTAAAATCATAAATTATAGATTTTTACGATAAATTTAGACTTAATACAAAAATAAATGACTAAACTATAATCAAAATTACCTTTCGGTGATTAAAGAATTTTTTGTTAAAAATTGTACCTAATATTTTATTAGGTTACACTTTTAAGTGCCTTAAAAAAACACGTCACATTTATATGTTTTTTAATTTTTTAAAATAAAATATTATTTAAAAATGTTTTTTTTTTAATTTGAACACATCAACTCAAACAGTAATCATCATCGAGGGATTTCCCGCACAGCTTTCGATTTTCCCAAACATTTCATTATTCAATCAATGGAGCTCCGAATAATTAAAGAAAATATCAAGCTCGTTTCAGCCACTAATCAAAATCACAGCGTTAAAACAAGTAGTGGCTCACATCTTGAGAAGAGATCTTCAACCAACTAGGCGGGGTTCTCTTGTAAGGCAAAGCGGATGCTGAAATACCTTTCCTGCAAGAGAAAAATTTCAAATCAGTGACGAACGCATATAGAAGAGATTCGATCGATGAAATCATGGGGTTGTTTTCAGGTGAAAATGAAACAACTTTTTGGAGTAGAAGAGATTCGATCGATGAAATCATGGGGTTGTTTTCAGGTGAAAATGAAACAACTTTTTGGAGTAAATACGAACCCTCGGCTGTGCATACGACCCATTGTAACAGTGTTTGGAGCTCGGCTGCTTCCTTTGGTCACCTGTCTTCTGCTGTTGAAATGAGCAGATAAACCCTATAACACAATGGAGGATGGGGATTAGGGTTCTTATTATCCCTCTTGTTCTTTGCTAGTAACTTATTTGGGCCTTCTTTTTTAGACCATTGGTGGTCTGGTTTTAAAGTATTGTTTTCCGTACACATTGGGCCAGAGCTTGCTAGTGAATTTTGATAAAGCCATTTAAACTTTAGGGTAAATTATGAGTTTAGTATCTAAACTATCAATTTTAATCTTTTATTATTTAAACTTTTAAATTTTTTAAAACCATACTTAACGTTTAGTTTTTGTTTCGTTTTAATATTTCATCGTTAAAACTTAACGGGTGATTTAAACGTTGTAACTTTTATGGGTAAATTACATTATTCATCACTCAACTATCTTCTCACTCCTATTTTGGTTACTAAAGTTTAATTTTTTTAATTTAATTACTTAACTTTCAAATTAATCCTAATTTAATCACTTCAAATTTCAAATTTATTTTTAATTATATTAATAAAATAATAATAATAATAAATGTCATCTCACAAAAATTATTAATAAAAATAAATTAGAGTGATTAAAATAGAATTAATTTGAAAGTTGAGTTGTTAAATTGAAAATTTTTAAACTTTAGTATCAAATTAGGAGTGGGAATATAGTTGAGAGATGAATGACGTAATTTACCCATAATTTAGGTATAGGTACTAAAACTAGTAGTTTAGGTACTAAACACATAATTTATCCTAAAATTTATTTTTTAGATTTTTTTGGGTAAAGTACACAAATGATTCCTCTACTAGAAGGTATTGTTTTGTTAAGTTTCCTGACTATAAAAAGTTATAAAGTGGTCCTCGACTATAGGGTGTTATTTGTTGAGTATATTGACTATTAAAGTTATAAAATGATTGCCCAACTTTTCATATGTTCTAAAATCGTCTTTTTTGTTGAAAAACAGATAATAGTCTAAGTTGGACGTTGACCTGTTGACTAAGATATGATTAGGGATGGACATGGGTTGGGTTTCAGGCCAACCCGACCCGACTAAAAAATTTTATACCTCCACCCGAAACCTGACCGACACGAGTTTAGAGTAATTCCACTCAACTCGAAATTCGATCAGACTTTTGAGATAAAACCTTACTCTAACTCGACTTGACCCATCCCGAAATAGTATAAAATTATTAATTTTATTTATTAAATAGGGACTTAATTGAAAAACATAATATAAAGAGGGGTATTCTTGCAATTATGCATAAATATATAAAGTATTTTATATTATTTTTTAAGTCGGGTTGGATTTTTTTACCCTAAACTCGAACCCGACCCGACCTGAATCTATTCTCTAAAAAACCCGATATGACTCGAAACAAACCCGTTTTTTTTTAAATATGACCCAATAGGATCGGGTTTGGTTGAAACTCATCGGATTCGAGTCTCGTGCCCATCCTAGATATGATAAAATGTGATCATAAAATCTCAAACGACTATCATATCTCAGTCAGTATGTTAACATACAACTCAAATGACCATCAAGTTTCTAAGGGAAAATGACGAGTTTGAAACATATGAATAATGAGGTGATCATTTTGTAACTTTAATAGTAGAGGGACTCAACAAAGTAACACCCTATAGTCAAAGTTCAATTTTGTAACTTTTAATAATTGGAGGACTTAACAAAATAACGTCCTATAATCGATGGACCATTAGTGTACTTTACCCTTTAATTTTTAAAATTTATAAGATTTATTATTTTTTATCCCATGAATATATAATGACTTACTTGAAAAATTAATATTGAAAACGAAAATTTAATGAAATATATATTTAAAAAACTAATTGTTAATATGAATCAAATGACTTTATTGATTAATAGATTATTATTATTATTTCTTAAAGTCTACGATTTTAACATCACGTATACAAGAATATGAATTTTATTTAATATATAAATTTTTATTTCTATAATTATATATATATATATGATTTTTTTTGTTTTAATTCAATTTTTACAATTTACTTAAATTGTTATCGAGTTAGTATAATTTTGTGTTTATATATTGTACTCACAGAATAATTATATTTATTTAATATAAAAATATATAGTTGTATTTTTTTTTCAAATGAATCAAAATGAAAATTTTATGTTTATAATTTTAAAAATACATAATGACAAAAAATACCCATGACATTTGATTAAATAATCATTTTGATATATACATTTTAGAATATTTTGGACTCCAATATTTTATTTTTGTTTAAAAAATCCCCTTTGTAACTGAAAATCATTAATCAATAAATAATCAACGCTCTAAAATAAATATTTGTTGCCCTAAAATAAAATACGGTAGTTAGAATATTCTAAAAAATAACAAAGGCTAAAATGAATATTTAGTTAAATATCGTAGATTTTTTATTCTAAAATAAATTGATAATGAACCAAAATACTTAAAAGAAAGAGAGTAAAAAACTATTTAATTAAACATTGAGATTGATAAAAAAAAATTAAAAATTGAGAATAGTTTTGACCTTTCTACAAAATAAAAGTCCATGCTATATATAGAAATTTTAATTGTTGTATTATACGTTTGAATGTTTGATGAAAATTATACTATATGATATTACACATTTGATGAACAATCATGTACTATATCATACATTAGAGGAAGGTTTATGCAACATTTTAATATTTAATAAACATATTTTCATAAATGGTGAATATAGTGTAGTATTTATTTAAAGATTCAATTATTTGATAATGTGAACGTTTATATCTTTATATGCGCAATGTTTGAACTCGAGACGTTAAGAGATAACAACGAGCTCCTTAATCATTGAGATTACTTTGATTTTAGGGATGACAACATGTAAGGTTTGGTTGGGTTTTTTGTCATCCCAACTCGACCTAATGCGAAAAATATATATTCTCTACTTGAACTCGATCTGATCTAAAAATATATATCTTCCACTCGATCTGTCCCAACTCAAGTTTTTAGAGTATAAAATTAATCCGACCCAATATAAAATAAGGATTTAATTTAAAAATTAATAGAGTAGTATTATAACAATTATTCATAAATTTATTCAAAGAAACTACACTATTCACTCGGATCAGTCATTTTGAGTCGGAGGAACTTTTTCACCCTTCACCTGACTCGACTAGACCTCACTATATTATAAAATCTGATACGACCCAAATATTTTTTTAAAAAAAATTGACCGTATCAAACTAGCTCAGAATTCGTTGGTTTCGAATTAAATTATCATCCTGACATGATTTGAAGTATATTTTATAAATATTAAAATAAGGTATCGACCCAATGTATAATGTATTAAGGTGTAAATTTCCAGTTTAGCCTTAAAGGTAAAATAAAGAGTGGACCGGCAAGTTTGGTAAAACACTCTGTTTTAAAAATCGGACCGGATCGGCCGGTTCAACCGGTTCAATCGGGAACCGTTGCTTAGTCTGATTTAATCTAAACCGATTGAACCGCTATTAGTGAACCGGTCAGAACCGTTGAACCGTTCGAACCGGACCGGCTGAAAATTGGAAAAAACGGAAAAAAACCGGGATTTTTGTTTTAAAAAAAATTAAACCAAACAACGTCGTTTGTTAAACGAGCCAAGTCGAACTCTAGTATTGTTGAGCTCGACTCGAACTTGAAAACTTTAAAAGTAAGCTCAACTCAACTCAAACTCACAAGCTAAAAATTATCAAGTTCAACTCAAACTCGAAATATAATATTGAAACTTGAACTTAAAAAGGCTTGAACTAAAAAAAAATTAGAAGCTCGATTGAAGCCTAAAATTCGAGCTTGATTGAAGTGAAAGAATAATTCACTCAATGCTCACCAAAAGGCTCCATGATTTTGAATGTCAAATTACCTCTATTATTTATAGAAGTTAGTTGTGATGCGCTTCTATGTTTCTTAGCAATGTGAGATTGTTTTGTTCTCATATTTTTACTCTTTAGGCTTTTGGGATGTTCTTCTATGTTTCTTAGCCACGTGGGATTGTTTTAAAAAAAAATTAAACTAAACAATATCATTTTGTTATGATTTTTTAACCCCAAATTTATTTTTTAATTATAGTTATATAATTATATTTATTATTTAATATGTTTTACCTTAAATATTATGTTATAGTTAATTTGAATCATTTTGTTTCACTTGATTTTATGGTTTTTAACTTATATATGTTATGACTTGCTTTGAATATGACTTGTGATATAAAAAATTATTTTTTATTAAATATTTTTGGTATTTTTATTTAATTTTTTAAATAATTATGACGTCGTCCGATTCTTCCGACCGGTTAGACCGGTTCGACCGGTTGAACCAGTGAACCGGTAGCATGACCGGTTCACTAACCGGTCCGGTTCTGAAAACCATGATAAAACAACTACGAGTGAAAACAAACACGCCCACCGTGAAACTCGAACCCACGATCACAAAATTAAGAGCCTTACGCTCTACCAACTGAGCTAGACGGGCTAATGACCTTACCGGAACAAGATTCAATATCAGTACCTGGTTAACTAAAGATTGCCCACCCATGATTTACAATATTAAATTATTAATGATTAATTTAAATTATTTTCTAAAAATACGATGAATAAATATTGTAAGAATTTATTTTTATTTTTTCCTTCTAAATTTGAGTGTTCTATATTATTATTAAATATATATTTTGACGAGATAAATGATTATTTAAAATAGGTTTGTATGAGCACGACTTAACTTACCTCAGTGATTAAAAGAATCGTTGTTGTTTCTAAAGGTCACGGATTTGAACACTAGCAACTGTAGAGGATGATTGAGCGTTAATTATGAAATGGTTGAGATTATTTAGAACATATACTATTTTGAAATCTCTTTAACTTAATAAAAAATACCTAAAATATTGTACAAACCAAGCGGTCTCTATGGTAAAAAAATTATTGTTATTCCTTGAGGATTGGGTCAAGCACTATAAATGTTAAGGATGTGAGCATTCAATGTCGAAAGATTAATAATAAGTACCTAAAATTAGCTGAACTTGATATGTATTAACTTGATCTTT